TAAGAAGGTGAACCTGATGAAAATCATGTAGCTATCCTCCTGGAGATTGGAAATAGACAAGAGTGCCAGGTAACCTCGGGTGCATGAGGGGGTGGGGGGGCTGTTGGAAGGAAAGAGGGTTAGAGAGAAGGGAGTAGGGGAGGAATAGGGATAGCTCGGTGGACTGGGATGGGGGGAGAGAGGAAGGATGGATATGGGATCAGGGAAGAATATATTTCAACTAAGGGGGTCATTTTAGGGTTTACAGGAGACTTGATTATAAATGGGATCCCAGGTCCAAGGAGAGATCCCCAGATTGTTCTCTGGACAGAGGAGAGGGTGCCTGAAACGGCCTAGGCCCATAACCATACTGATGAATATTTTGCTTATTACCATAGAATCTTCATCTGGCGATGGATGGAGATAGAGACAGAGACCCACATCGGAACACTGGACTTAACTCCCAGGTCCAAACGAGAAGCAGAAGGAAAGAGAACGTGAGCAAAGAAGGCAAGATCAGAGAGAACTTTCATCCGACGATGGATGGCGATACAGACGGAGACCCACATTGGAGCACCGGACTGAGCCCCCCAAGGTTCAAATGAGGAGCAGAAGGACGAAGAAAATGAAAAAGGAAATAAGGACTGCGAGGGATGTGATCACCCACTGATACAAGGGGACGGATCTAATGAGTTTACCAAGGCCAGTTGGTCTGGGACTGAACGAGGACACAATCCAACCAGATTCTCTGAATGTGGCCAGATTCTCTGAATGTGGCTGGCCCGGAGTCTTTGTGAAAAGCCATTGACAATGGCACTGGGACCTGTTTCCTCTGCATATACTGGATTTTGCGGATCCAGTCTGTCTGGACACTCACCTTCCTGGACCTGGAGGGAGGGGGGAGGAACTTGAACTTCCCACAGGGCAGGAAACCCTGACTGCTCTTAGGGATGGAGAGGGAGGAGGAGAGGGAGTGGTGGGAGTGGGAGGGTGTTGGGAGGAGGGGAGGAAATGGAAACTTTTATAATTTAATAAAATTACTTTAAAAAAAAAAGAAAAAAAAAACAATCTAAAATGCCTCACCTTTCAAAGCTCAGCCTAGCCAACTGAACATGTCCTGATCTCCACCTCAGAGAGATACCAGTGAGTGCTGCTACCACAGCAAAGTCTCCACCCCACCTCTTGAGCCTCAGCTGTGTTTCCTGAAGACTGGGCTCAGGCCTTTCAGTATTAGTCAGGCATTAGTGCCACCTGGTGGACATTTGAACTAACCCTACAACTACTGCCTAATCACTTAAAAAGTCTCTTAAAAACAAAAGGTAGGAAAACATTTCCATCGTTTGGGAATATACTTCATTATCGTGACTTCAGACACTTAGTTTCAGAAAACCAAAACCCATGCCAATTGCTCACTCAAACGCTATCCCTCATTGTAATCCAGACTGTAAATGGTCCAAATTACATTCATACACCACTGGGCAGTGGCATGGAAAATTCAGACAAGACCAGGCATGTTCAGGGTGGTATGTCTGCACATGGAAATCAAACGGTGAAATAATCGACCACTGCAAATCATTCAACAGTTTTTTATTATTCATATTTCTATGATCAGAGTTCTTTCCAACATGTGGGTCCCAAGAATCAAATTCAGGACATTAAGCCTTACTCCTTGAGATATCACACCGAGACAGGGTCTAAGTATGCAGCGCTAGCTGGCCTGAACTAGCTATAGACTAGCTATAGACTGAAGACTATCGTGGGACTCATGGAGACTTGCCTGCCTCTGCCTCCCAGGGTGGAATTAAGGCATGCACCACACTGCACCTTGCTTCTCAATAACTTTTACTTTTTATTTTATATGAATGGGTGTTAAGCCTGCACATACTTTTGTGTGCCTCCTGTGTGTCTGGTGCCTTCAGTGGCCAGAAGAGGGCAGAAGATGCCCTGTAATTGGAGTTACAATGATGTTACAGGTTGTGAACTGTAACATCAATTCTAACCACTGAGCCATCTCTCCAGCCACATTCTCAACAATATTTAATACAAATTTCAGATTTCAGTTGCCATGCCTAATATAAGAGACACACATAAACACACACAGGAACCAAATACAAAGTATCTGGCTATGAAGTCGAAGATAAAATGATAACTGTTTTTTTTTTTCTTGTGGTAGCTGGGACTGAACCAGAGCCTCACCACTGAACCTACCCCCACGTCTCCAAACATGCCATATTTCTCTACCTGCATCACCAGGCCTGCTGAGAAGAATTGCTTATTTGGCACTTCATGAACTAGTGCTAATGCATGTTATCTCAAAACCCTTCACAAGAATACTATGAAGTAGGTTATAAGAAAAACTTACGTGAGACTGGCAGAGACAATGTCTGAGAATTGTAACTGCAGTGCTAAATCCCTGTGGATCAAATGAAGGCAGCATTGCCAGAGGAACATGTGGTTAGCTAAACTACTCCTGAGAACAGGCATCGAGAATTAAGCCTGTCCTAAAAGAAACAGGCAGTTCATTCAAAGAAAATGTCACTGTAAGAATTCAAGTCAAAGAACTAAAGCTGAGTATTTCATCATATTCCATCGTATGGAGAAAGAAGAGATACCTAGACAAATCTCTTGCCTTCAATTCAAGGCCTACCTTCCTGGAACTGGTCAAGTTATTTGGACATGTGACAGCAGGCATCACAGTAAACACCTTTAATCCCAGCACTAGGGAGGTTTGCAAATTTGGACCAGAATTTGAGGACAGCCTGGTCTATGTAATAAGCACTAGTTCATTCCACATTATACAGTTAATATATAATTATTATATAATATACTATATCGTATATATAAAATATATATGTTAATGTATATAATTCCACAATATACAGTTAATACTGTCACAAACATACAAAACACCCAATGTGACACAACTGAGCAGCTGCGAATGATCAACCCTTACATGAGTTTTACGGAAACTCTTTCATGATTCCTTACAACAGGTGGCTCAAGGGAGAGCTGTCCTATTTTTAACAGCAGTCTCTTGAGGCAAAATAAGGCAATGACATAATGTATGGCCAAGAGTATACCACTTCTGAACAAGAATTTGTGAAGCAGAAAGACTGATGTCAAAGACAGAATCTAACTTGAAGAGACATCAGCTGGTGGGTTCTGGTATCTCAGCATTAACTTTAAAAATAAACTGCTCAGAAATAAGAGCAACAAACTTGCTATGGGCTGAATATATGTTCCCCAAATTTACACAGTAAAATCTAATCCTAATGTTACTGATGACGTGAGGCCTTAGGAAGTAATTAGACAGTGAGAGCAGCAGCCTTACCGAGGGAGCAGAGCTCCAAGGAGGTGACGCAGAGAGGGCTTGTCTGTACCTGTGAGGACTCAGAGTTTTTGCAAAACTAAAAGGCCTCCCCCAGAGCCTGACAATAATGGAACCCTAAATTTGACTTTCTAGCCTCCAGAAGCATCAAGGTTTATAGAGTTGATAAAGTCCGGTCTATAATATTCTTCAAAGTACTTTTCACTAAGACAAGAAAACAGTTTTTAAAAAAAGACAAAAGGAACTACAGGCAACCAAGTAAAACTGGGAGCCGGAGACGTGGTATTCCCCAGGGAAAACAATCAACTGCCCAGTGCCAAACAGCCGGCCCTGAAAACATACATAGAAGTAACATTATATGGACAGAGCCAGCTGTACTTAGGAATATTACATCCTTCTCTTTTTTTGGTGGGGGCGGAGGGTGGTGGTAGAGAGGAGTAGTGGTGCTGGGCGTTCAACCCAGGGTTTGACCATGCTAAGCCAGCACTCTCTCAAAGTCCGCCATTCTCTGAAATAGCAGAATTAAAAACTAGTGAGAAGAAAAGGAAAGAGAAAGTCAGCAAGATAAATGTTTCACTTGCCAAATCTGGGTTAAGGTTAACCATGAAATCTCTAAACTATTCTCATACCTTTCTCTAAGTCTGAAATTATGGGTAAATGTATTTTTTAAAAATATTCCTTGGTCTAGAAGTAACAGAACAAGAAAGCCAGGTAAAAACAACAACAACAAAATACCAAGCAATCTAAAAATGGAGGTCAACATGAATACATTTACTAAAATTAAGAACCTTGACTCACACCAACTAAGGAAGCATGTCCTGGAGTCCCCAGACTTTGGCATTCTACCATGGCAAGGTATTAGCTTGACTCTGCTAAACATCTCAACTGCAGAAACAACTCTCCCTCATCTTCTTCCTTGGTCATCAGACTTCTGACAAGAAAGGAGCAGCTTTCAAGTGTGTGTTCCATTATATACAATGATAAGCACGGAATTTATAAAGTTGACTACAAACAACTTCTTACTTCTTGGTTCCCAGCCACCGTCAACCTGAACAGTCAGAGTACCATGGGACTCACAGAAATGGTAGACATAGCAAGCTACTTGACTCTGCAAGCCCTTGGATATCTTTATTCAAGAAAGACTAAGGTTAGAGTGAAACTAAATTTTTTAAGTGGGAAAATCACATTAAGTATTTAACAACTTCCCTTTAGAAAAAGGCATGAATAACTGCCTTAAAATCTTGATAAACCAACCAGTGGTAAAACAAGTGAGAACGTGCTATGGTCATGCTCCAACTGCTGTCCCCATCAGTCTACCACAGGACACAACATGCTTTTTAGATGAATACACACATAAAAATGAAGGACTGGAGGATGTTTGGGGCCTTTACTCCTAACTTCAAAAACCAGGGAGTAGAGTCTTAAAAAACAGTGTGGCACTGAGCACATGGTTCCATCTGCATTCTTAATGGTACATACAAACTAAGTAAAAAACATCCAGTGAGGTGCATTTATCAAATCTTGCTTGTAGGAACAAGGTTATAAAAATTCATTTTCGAAATGCTTAAACCCGAGCCAACACTCTTCTTTCGGAATATGGAAGGCATTACTCTTGGTTTAATATAACATTTTCCTATTCCTTCATCTACAATCATTCTTGCTGACGGTGGTGCGTTATATTCAATGGCAGAAGTGGACAGAAGAAACAGTGTTTATTCTCAACTTGAAACCCCAAATTTAAAAATTATATCCTTGATACAAGGGGCAGACATTTTTATAATAAAAACAAGCTATCACCCTAAGCTGCTGTCCAAAGTAAAAAACAAATCAAATTGCTAATTAACCTGTAAAACGAATCTGTGCTCCCTACAAACCTACACACACTTAAATACATTTTAGTCTACCGAAATAAAAATTAAAATATCCCTCAGTTAAGTTTTTTTATAGAGCTAAAGTTATAGCTTAATGACTGGACAGCAACTTTGCAAGTACAAGCCTTGGGTTTAAACCCAGGAAGGGAGAAAAAGGGTAAGGATACAATTCTATGTAGAAATAAAATGATTAACTTCCCAGCTCTCTTGTGATAAACTGAACTTTCATTTCCCTACCTCAAGGATATGAAAGTGATTTAAAGTGGGTCAAAGAAATTAACATAAAACAAATGTAAGAGGCTGGCTTATATTCTAATGTTTGGTTAATATCCAAAGGATCCTAACTTGATCTTAGAATCCAGCACTAAAGTAGTAAAACTACTACGGCACCTCTGATGGAAGCACATTAGATGCCTCAGTACCAGTAACACCAATAACAACTACATTCCATCTCAGCGCTTTTCTAACTATCAGACTATGAAACCTTTCAATACTGTAAGTGAACAATAAAAATAGTCATTTATTCAACTTTAAGACCAAATTCTCCTCTCAAAATACAAAGGAATGCATGTACTATACAATGATGATCATTTTGCTGACTTCTGAGGTCACAGACTCGCAAACAGCATATACCATGGCTCATCATGACATCATTGATGCACCTTCTTCACCAGTGGCATCTTGGGAAATATGAAGGTCTTCAATCATCTCAGCCAGACTAATTCGAGGGGCTCCTTCATCGTCCGTGTCACTCTCCACAGGGATGGTGGAGTCTAAGGAAGGAGGGGATAGTTCACATGTACAAGTATGGACACGCACAGACCACTATCCCTACCATCATCAGCACTAAGGCTCTCAGCTCTTATCTACAGCAGGCTTTCAAATACTAAATAAATGAGCAAACTAAATATGCAAGAGCTAGCAACTTAAGGAATCAGGCTCAGATAACAATTGCTTCATTATGTATACAACAAACAATATTTAGAAAATTTTACAGTTCCTTCATTATCTGGAAGTAAAAGCTTGACTACAGCAGTTTATAAGACAAATAAAAATCACTTATAAAAAGTAAGTTTAAAATATCCTCACAGATACTATCTACAACATGACTTCAATACACCTAAAACACTAACCTCTGTAAATGTTGACATTTTTTCTAATTGCCTCATCTTCTTCAAGATCTTCAAGGAAATCTTGATATTGCCTGCAAGAAAAAGAAACTTTGAGCACTGTCTCAAGTATTACAGTATTTGCAAAGTTGAAATATGGCTGCTAATTAAGTATGTAGGCTGGGAAACAAATTTCCTTACAATATTTATAACTGTTGAATATTAAAGTGATGTTAAATTCAAGACAATGAAAAGATAACCTCTCACCTCCATTCTACCACACAAACAATTCTTAAGGACAAGTGACTACAGTTAATTTGGGGTGTTTTGTTTCGTAATTTAATGATTTATTTTTATTTATGCATGCGTGTGCATGTATGTCTGTGTATGCCAGAAGTGTGAGGGTACCCGTAGAGCACTGGATGCTATGGAGCCATAGCCACCCCACATGGGTGCTGGGAACTGAACCTGAGTTCTCTGACAGAGCAGGAAGCACTCCCAACTACAGCAGTCATCTTTCCTGCCCTTCAGATTTTATGTTGGTTCTAGGGGCTTGAGTCTTTAGCTGCTGAATCAGATCACCAGGCTAAGACTACAACTGAAACAGTCAAGTGTGCACTACTAAACAGTAGAGCATGCTACAGATGTACGTATTTTTAGAAAACATTATTTTCATGTCTGTTTAAGTTATCTGAGTAATATCTAATGTCAATGAACTATTATGTTAAGCTTAAGATAAAAGCAACCATCTATTTCTGACATCCATGTGGTAATTATTCATTATACTGAGTGTGTGTGTGTGTGTGTGTGTGTGTGTGTGTGTGTGTGTTTGAGACAGGCTTTCTCTGTGTAGTTTTGATGCCTGTCCTGAAACTAGCTCTTCTAGACCAGGTTGGCCTCAAACTCAGAGATCCACCTGCCTCTGCCTCTTGATTGCTGTAATTAAAGGTGTGCACCACCACCGCCCAGTTTATACTTGAACTTTTTAAACTAAATTATTTTCATTAACACTACAATTATAAAAGACAATAACACAGGAAATGATTATTGAGGTTTTGTATATTGTTATTTTATTCCTTTATAGATTCTCCTAAGTAGATTCCAGTCATAACTTTCTCTTCCTAAGTTAATTTGACAAAAATCTATTGGCCTGAAACTGAAAGTCTTCTGTAAAGCAAAGAACACGGTCAACAAGACAAAATGACAGCCTACAGAATTAGAAAAGATCTTCACTAACCCCACATCAGACAGGTTTGATCTCCAAAATATACAAAGAACTCAAGAAACTGGATACCAAAAGAACACATAATCCAATAAAAAAAATGAAGTACAGACCTAAACAGAGAACTCTCAACAGAGGAATCTAAAATGTCCCTCGACCAAAGAATGGATAAGGAAAATGTGGTATATTTACACAATGGAGTACTACACAGCAGAAAAAAATAATGACATCTTGAATTTTGCAGGAAAATGGATGGAGCTAGAAAACATTACTTTGAACGAGGTAACCCAGACACAGAAAGACAATTATCACATGTACTCACTCATAGGTGGTTTTTAAACATAAAGCAAAGAAAACCAGCCTACAAACCACAATCCAGAGGACTTAGACAACAATGAGGACACTAAGAGAGACTCACATAGATATGATCTACATGGGAAGTAGAAAAAGACAAGATCTCCTAAGTAAATTGGGAGTATGGAGACCTTAGGGGAGGATTGAAAGGGGAGGGGAGAGGCAGGGAGGGGAGCAGAGAAAAATGTAGAGCTCAATAAATATCAATTAAAAAAAAGAAACAAAAAGAAAAATCTATTGGGTGATAGTAATTTCTATACGACGTAAGCCTACCTTCTAAGAGTTTCCCTGAAACAACCCCAAGCTTACGGGAAGCAGTACCTTTCGTCATCTGTGTCCATGTCTTCTCTGTCTCTCGCAAGCTCTTTCAGTTTCCAGTTTCTACGGCGCTGGCGTTTCGTACGGTCATAGCTCTTCTTAATTAACACCTGTAACAGAAATATCTGCAGTTACAGCAAAGACACACACAAGGGAGAACATTCAAAACTCAGGGATGCCAGGGAGTCCAACTGTTGGCCATCGTTACACTTCAGGAGAAAGGTGTCAAGAGGACGTCTAAACCTTTACTATGTATTCATGAGGATGCTTTTGAACATTGTTATTATCTAACTGTGAAAATTTCAAATGACTAAATGCTAAATGATTATTGCCAAAAACTTGCATTGTTTTTATTATACTTTTTTGGTCACCATTTATACAGCACATTTTGAAACATTACAGACAGACACTCCATTTTTTCACAGTAATAAGTACTTACAAAATTTACATGAATTTTATAACATTTAATAATTATATAGTGAAAATTTTAGAAAACAGAAAAATTTTGAGATGACTAGTGATCTCGTGTATCCATTTAATAAATACCCATTCATGCAGCTGGAGAGATGGCTAAGCTGTAAAGAATACTTGCTGCTCTTGAGGAAGACCTGGATTCAGTTCCCAGCACCCACATGGTGGCTCACAACCATGTGTAACTCCAGTTCCAGGGTACCTGACACCCTCTCTGACATCCATCAGCACTGCTCACACATGGTGGATACTACTGACACATGCCAACAAGACATTCATACATGTCACATCAAACAATAAATCTAAATAATAAATACCCACTCTGACCCATACCTAATTCTTTTCTGTCACCAACTGAAGAACAGCCAGATGAGATAGGAACCTCCTATTACCAGGACTCCATTTTTGCTCAGATTTAAAGAAATTCATGTTTATTCTGAAAAGACATACCAAGTGCAGCCAGGTCCTATTCTTCGTACACTGCTGTTTATGAACTTTAAACTCACAATTCTAATTTGTATTCAATAGTTAATAATGGACTTAATTCTACATGCCCTGTGAAGTTGAGAAAATACACAGAATAAGCTGAGGCTAACATAAGAGTGAGCCTGACTAAACTTTAGAGGTCGCCATTTCCAGGTGCAAACTCACTCTCCCTCCATCAGCGGTACTGGCGGACTGAAGCCAGGCCTTTCTGCATGGCAGGCAAGCACTTTGTCACTGAGTAATGTCCCCAGTCCTCTGGTTCATTTCTGTTCTATTGAGACAGGGTCTCATTAAGTTTCCCAATCCAGTCTTAAATTCACTCAGACTCACTTTCTAGCCCAGACAGGTCTTGAACTTGTGATCCTCTCAGATCAGCCTCCTGCACACCTGAGATTGTAAGCCTGTGCCACCAGGTCAGGCAGGATCAAGTGTTTTGCTAAGAAAATGAAAATCTGATTATTGAAGGTAGGGGTACCCTGAATAAATCTTCAGAATTCTATCAATCCTCTCTAACACGGGAAAACAACAAAAAGAACAAAAAAACCCTAAAGCCTTACCACATCTGGAACTCTATCTGACTTCATTTTGTTGACATGTTCATCGTTTAAGTTACAGTTGGCCAAATCAAATCTGAAATGTAAACAATGAAAAGTTTAATAAGTATCCTTGTGTATAATTCTGTTTTATATATATCATCTCTATATATGGACACACACACACCTATCTTTCTAAGTAGAAGATTTTGAAAGCTCCCCATTTTAAGTTTTGAAATTTTGGGCTGGAGTGATGGCTCAGTGATTAAGAGCACTGGCTGCTCTTTCAGAAGACTTAGGTTCAATTCTCAGCACCACATGGCAATTTACAACCATTTTAACTCCAGTTCTAGGGGATCCAACATCCTCTCCCAGCCTGTAGGCACCAGGCACATACACTCATACAAGAAAAAGATACACATAAAATTTAAAATTTTTAAATAGTAAATAACGGTTCTGAAATATGCTATGTGGTGAACATGCTTCTCTGCAAACAGGAACACACTGCACTCTAAGTCTGTCACTGTCCCTTGTGTGTCCTCTTTCCATTCCTTGCTAAGGACGTGACAGAGTGACACAGCAGCCTTAATTTCAGAATGCAACTGAGTCTGTAAGTTTACAAAGCAAGCAACAACCTCTCTTCCTCTTGTAAACGGAGCTCAAACTGCTGGGACAGAGCCCACGTCTAGAGCACACAGATGAGCTCAGATGCAGACAGCTACTTACTTTTATGGTGCTGTCTGACATAAGGACTGTTTTTTATTAATTTATTTATTATGTGTATGTGCCTGCATGCATTTATGTACACTATACACATGCAAGTGCCTAGAAGTCAGAAGCATCAGCTCCCTTAAAATTGGAGCTACTAGTAGTTGTGACCTACCTGAGAGGAGCACTGGGAATTGAACCTGGGTCCTCTGTAAGAGCAGTACACACAACCTCTGAGCCATCTCTTCAGCCCTGCCTATTTCCAAAAAGTGAAGCATTTTCAGTCACCTAAACAACCCACTACCATTAAAAAGCTATAAATACTCAAACTATATAAATTCAGTATTTAATTACCAAAATCTTTGAAGAACTGACTCAGATGATGGCCCAAATGGAACAACTATTGGCTTTTGTCCAATACATGGTTTTATAGTTATCAATAATAAAATAATCTAGTTCTTAAGACCTCTTAAATCTTTTTTTGAAATTAACAAGTTTAGTATTTTATTGACTTATGAAGAAAACTTGCAATGCTACCTGGCAAGTTAAAACACAACAAAATAAAACAAACCCCAGCACCAGGTCTCCAGGATTTAAAAGATGTCCCAAGTGAGTCCGACAAAAATACTGTTTATCTGTGTCCATTTCAGATGTCTTCTGGACCCAGACCTCCGCAAGGGTGTGCTTAGCAGAAAAGAAAAAGGAGTCAGTAACAGAACAATTCAAGACTCATGTCACGGAAAAATTAAATGTAAAATTGACTTTTTTCTCATTCAACATGCACTTGGAAATGCCTTCTACTTTCCAGAATTCTAAAATCCTGTATGTAAAATGTCTTCAAAGGAAACCATAAAAACAATCCAGAACTTGTATACAACATTAACACTACCCCTTGAAAAAACAAACATGCAACATACATATACAGCACTTTCAAAAAAAATGGCTTCAGAGAGACTGGTTAACTCAGAGTGGGCACAAAAGTAACTGGAAGGGTAAAAGGATCATAAAGCCAGAAAACGGTTCAAGCAAATGCCTGTAAGACCCTGCTGCGGGAGCTCCTTCAGCTCCTTCAGCCAATCGACTGCTGAGTTACCAGCCCATTGGGGCGTGGTCTCTCTCTCCTTTAAAAAAAAAAAGCAGCGGCTGTCCTCCACCCCCTCTCTGGCTTCCGGCTCTGCTTCTGGCCCCTAGACTCCTTTCCTGTTCGCATGGAGGGGCTGTTGTCTGGGACGGTAATCTGTAAGTTTTTTCCCCTTTGAATAAATAACCATTCTATTAATCATAATTCCAAACTGGTGTGGGATTGTTTGTGACTTATGCCTTCAAGACCCAAGACTTAAAAACAAACAAATCAACCAAGAGTTCAGAAAACCTACAAATGACACCAGCACACTAATACTGAGCCCCCACCCCCCCCACACACCCACACCCACACCCACACACACACACACACACACACACACACTGCACACTGGGCTGGAGGGATAGCTCAGTGGACAACAATGATCGCCACCAAGTCTAATGATGTGAGTTTGATCCTCAGGTGCAGCTCCTTCAAGTGGTCCTGACTTCTACAGGTGCACATGTGCACCATGAACAGCCTCCCTCCTCCCCAAATACAATCTAAAAGAACACTCATCTCTGAAATAGTCCCATAAAAACATGTCTGTCAAAACGCAGGTGCTCTTCTAATTTAGAGAAAGACAATAAAATCAAGTTATATTGGCACTATAACCAAACAGGAATAGAGACCCAGAAGGCAGTATAGTCTACAAGGTATGTGCTCTTTCCGTTTAAGAAGTTGGTATCATAACACGACAGGAAAGCATTATCACTGAAGAAAAGATTTAAGAATTACAATATTCACATAGTTCAATGTGTGCTCCCCACCTAGATGCTAGTCTGAGCAAACTTCTGAGACAAAGGAAGGAATCTGAATGTGGACCAAATGTCGTTCTCATAGTGATAAACTGATTGCCTCAAAGGAGTTCTATGTTGTATAAAAAAGTATGAATGATTTCATACTCAGGAACGATTCACAAATTTAATTGTCCACTTGGTTCTCTCCCACCAAAATAAATGTGAACAAAGATTAAAAATAAAAACAGAAAAAAAGCCCTTTTCCCAATACAAAAAGAAGAAAATTGACTTAGACTATAGTTCAGCAACCTCCACCACAATGATCCATTCAATTTCATTTTTTGTGAGACAGTGTATCAGCATGTGTCTCAGTATGCAGCCCTGGTAACTGACATACAAACCAGACTGGCCTCAAACTCAGAGATCCGAATTCTTCCACCTTCTGAGTGCTGGGATTAAAGGGATGCTCTACCATACCCAGTGATGACAACTCCGTTTCAAAGGAATTGCATTTATTTGTGTGTGTGTGTAAGACAGGGTGCTGGCATCTGCCACAGCACCTGGAGATCAGAGGAAAACTTTGTAGTGGATTCCAGGAACCCGACTCGGGTCGTGAGACTTCACTCTTACCTGCTGAGTGACGCCTCTGGCCCTCACAGCTACCCTCATGGTGTACTTCTTTATCTAGACTCCACATTTTATAATCACTAACAATCGAAAACCACAAACTTTTAAGAGTAAGAATGGGCAGGCGCTGCTTACTTTTTTTGATAGGACTCCAGCCCCGGCACTTCGTTTCAGATCTCGGACTATGCTGCATTCCATCACAATAAATTCTTCGAGCTGTTTAGGGTGGCATAAACTATTGAAAGGGTGACTCCAGAATGTGTTTCCATCAATATCAGCCACTAAGAACAAGCATAAAAACAAGATAACTGACAAATGTCTAAGTCAGTGTGTTAACCGGAAGGCTGTTTAGAACAACAGGAAGAATCAGACCAATAGGAACAGACGTCAAACCGCTCTAAGTCATCGCTCACTTCCATACATGAGCTCCAAACCTCCCACGGTACAAGCGAAATATCGGGTGTCAAAAGATATTTACATCGTGTGCTCATCGTAAGGGGAGCTCACCAAAGCCAGCTGGACCGGGACTGAATGAGCATGTGATAAACCGGACTATCTGAATGTGGCTGACAATGGGGGCTGACTGAGAAGCCATTGATAAAGACACTGGGGCTTGTTTCTACTGCATGTACTGGCTTTTTGGGACCCTAGTCTATTTGGATGCACAGCTTCCTAGGCCAGGATGTGGCGGGGGAGGGCCTTGGACTTCCTACAGGGCAGGTTCCCTGCCCTCTCTTAAGGAGGGAGGGGGGAGGGAGGAGAGCAAGTGGGGAAGCAGGAGAGGAATGAGAGGAGGGGAGGAAGTGTAAATTTTTGAATGGAAAAAATTTTAAAAAAAGATATTCACATCTTAGTTATATAAGCAGAATGCCACACAACAAATTCAATCAGTTTTATGATGATTTCATGTGCTAATGTTTCATTATAGAAACCTACTGGTCATCACAGCTGCTCAAGTTATAAGCCATAAAGCCTACTTTTATCTGACAGGGAAGAATGCCCCCCCTACCCTATTACTGCAAACAGACTTTAGCTGATAATATAATCAATGAGTTTCTGAAAAGTATCAAAATACAGAAACCTTATAAGAAACTTAAGAAAAAGATTGAGGAGACAAATACCAAGACTATCACTATGCAGTCTTCCTTTCTTAAAAAAAACGATTTCTATAAAGATATACTAAAAATGACCCATAATAACGATGAAAAGTTAAAATTCGTACTTAAACTAGGGACCTCACTGGGTCACAGCTCAAATATCCCAAAATTTAAAATACTTGTTCAAAAACTAAAACTTGCAGGCTAGACATATAGTTTAGCAGCAGAACCTCTGCCTAACAGGCACAAATATTTGAGCATACACGCATGTGGCAAAAAGACTTAGTCACCAAAATTATATGAGTCAGAAAACTTTCAGAAAATGAATAAAACTGAACTATCTACAAGTTCACAGTAAAGTTTCTTTAAAACAGGAAGAGAATAACAAAAAGCTCTATAATTCCTGTATTATTTTGTTTTGTTTTTGTGAGATAGGGTTTCTCTGTGTAGCTTTGGAGCCTGCCCTGGCACTCACTCTGTAGACAAGGCTGGACTCGGCACACAGAGAGCCACTTGCCTCTGCCTCCCAAGTGCTGGGATTAAAGGCGTGTGCCACCACCACCCAGCTAATTGCAGTATTTAAAATTACTAAACTTAACTATTAGTCTTCCAAAATAATATTATCAAGAGTAACATTTGGCACTGGGGATGTGGCTTACTTAGCAGAATGCTTGGCTAGCATCCACCAGGCCTTGGGCTCAATCTCCAATAGCATGTAACTTGGTTTCAGGGCACACTTCTGTGATCCTAGTGCTGGGGAGGTGGAGGGAAGAGGATCAGGCATTGCAGGCCATCTTTGAATACATGTAGAATTTAAGGCCAGTATAGGCTACATGAGACCTTGTCTCAATAAAAAAAAAAAAAAAAAAAGAAATGAGTATGGGGGAATAATCAATATAAAGGCCGTGAGTGATTGCTGTTACCAGAGGACAAAGCTAGCTCCAAAGCTTACCTTGCAGGGTGTTGGGGTCTATGAGATGGATGGCACTAGTCACTCGAATACAAATACATATCTGGCTCATATTTCCAAGACTCTGCGCCAATTTTGGTGATAGGCAGACAACATTATCCTAGACAAAAAAGAAGTAACATCTAAAATAAGGCAATTCTAAGTAACTGCCTTTGATAAGCATTCATTAATAAACCTGACAAAACTATCTGTCTGAATTTGTGGATGGGCCAGTCAAGAATTATCAAGTCTGATTCTGCCTAGAGGACACTACCACACCTGGCTCCATAACATTATTTTTCATCTTGGGCCAATAAAGGACCTGCAGATAAAAGTTACACCTTAGAGAAGTGGAAACACTCAGTACATTCTTAAGATGAGCCCATTTGTCACTATGTAGACTAGCCACCTTAAATTTATAGATATCTGTTTGCCTTTGCCTCCCAAATACAGAGGTTAAAGGCAAGCGTCACCACACCAAGCTATTTGTTGGATTTTACTCATTTGCTTTTTTAAAGTGTTTTATCTTTGTACATTTAAATGAAATGATAATGTATGTTTTAAATGTTTTATTGAAATGTTTACAAGTAAAGACGATTCTACGATCTCATTTCCATTAATACAGTAGTCAAAATCCTGTTGGCCAGGCTAGAAAGACAGCAGAAGTCGAATACAGATTCTCAGCACTCAGGTTAAAAAATAAAAGTTGTAAGCCTAGAAGTAGAGACACGCAGATTCCAGGGGCTCAATAGCCAGCTAATCCAGACTAATTAGTTGGCTCCAGGTACACTGAGAAACTATCTCAAGAAATAAAATGGACAGCAATTTATGGAGACACCTAAAACTGACTTCTGGTCTCCACATGTATACATATGTATACAAACACTAACGTGGATATACAAAACTCTTACCCATACATATTCCAAAGTGGCTCACTGATCTTTTTAACTACCATTTCTTTAGATGAAAGTTTCATGAAATTATTGTATGTCCACTGAGATTCCCTTCTTATTTTTTTTGAAACAGTATTTCTCTGTGTAGCTTTGGAGCCTGTCCTGGAACTAGCTCTTGTAGATCAGGCTGGCCTCGAACTCACAGAGATCTGCCTGCCTCTGCCTCCCAAGTGCTGGGATTAAAGGAGTATGCCACCACCACCCAGCCCAAGATTCCAATTTTTAATAAAACTGGATTATAAAATTTTATAATTTGCTATAACCTTGTTATTTGTGTGTATGTACGTGTGTGTGTGTGTGTGTGCACGTGCACACGCACATATTGTTCAAGAATACATGCTGACATCAAAGCATGATGTCATAGTTGTCTATGTGGAACTGGTTCTCTTCTACCTTTACCTGGGCTCCAGGGATCCAACTCAAGTCACCAAGCTTGCACGACAAGCACTTTAAAAAGGATGAGCCATCTCCCCAGTCCAATCTTTTCATCATAATACACCAAAATGAAGAGCATTCCAACCCACAGTTATAAACACAGATTTTGAATTTTTTTTAAACAAAGCTGAGCATGTCAAAAATCATTGAAGGAAGCTATTCTTAATTTTTAGTCAGTAGGAAACCAGGGGCAATAAATTATATATAATCAATTAATTACTATTCTCTTACAGACATGAATTAATTACATAAAAAGAGGTACCTTGCATATTGGAACAATTTCAACAGAAAAAGTGCTCTTGTAATTGTATGTGTTACTATGGATATCTTGGGAGATCAATCTTTGTGATGCTTTGTATCTATGAAGAAAAAAAATAGTATTAATAGAAAGGGACAGATCTAAGTCCAATGTCTTCACACAGCTTTCTAATGGCTTTAACTATCAACCTGACATAACCTAGAATCAAGTACAGAGCAGGACTGGGCTGCTCTATGAACATGCCTGGGGACTGTCTTTATTGAGTAAATTGATATGGGAAGACCCAGCCCCACAGTAGCACATTCCCTAGGCCAGCAGGTCTTAGTTTGTGGGTCCTGCATATCAGATATTTACATTATAATTCATAACAATAGCAAAATTACAGTTAAGAAGTAACAGTGAAGTAACTTTATGGTTGGTTCACCACAGCATGAGGGACTATATTAAAGAGTCACAGCATTGGGAATATTGAGAACCACTGTCCAAGGCAGAGGGTCCTGAACTGTTTGAGAACAGAGAAATCTAGCTGAGTAGAAATAATCAAGCAAGTGGGCAGGCACGTCCACATCCATTTCTCTGCTCTTGGATGAGATATGAGTCACTGATTTGATTTTTCCATGAGATGAACTGTAACAACTGTACGCTTAATAAACCCTTTCTCCTAAGCTGCTTTCTGTCAGGGGGATTTATCACAGCAACAGACATGAAACTAGAACACAGGGCAAAGCCTAATTTTATCCACTACATCTCAAACTTTCAGCAGAATGACTACACTCTAAGCCACACTAATGTACCTAACAGGTACATTAGTAATCTCATTTTTCAATATAAACTCAGCTTGTGAAAATTTCCCTCATCTTGAAGCCGTAGTTCTTCTCTCCATCTTCTATAGCACAGCCTTACAGTGCTCATTATTATGGAGTTAGGTTTAACTATTAAAGGTTCTTCAGCAAATATAAAATGGATAACTCAATGTTTCATGACTGTTTAAATAGTCGCGCAAAATTTTAACAAAGGAAGTTATCTAAGCCCGAGGAAAAGATGTGACATATATATATCCTATTCCCTGAACCAGGGACTTAGACATTTAGATTCAAACATACCTGCAGGGAACCACACCCTGAAGAAACTCCACCATCTTCTGAGCATGTTGTTTTGAAGAATAGTAGAAATCCAGACCATCTAAAAATATAATAAAAATGGTTCTGCAAAACAAGGTCTTCCTCTAACATGACCATATCACAAATTAAACCCATAAGTAAAATATATTATTAGAAAATTGTATAGCCAAAACATGTTGGGGATATTAAGAACTGTTTGGCAATAAGGCAGACAAAAATCAGATAAGAAGCTGAAAACTTCTTATCTGAAATGAAAACAATGAAACAAGATTCACATTAATTCATAAGAACAAAATTCAAGGCTAAGAGACAAAAGGAAAAGAATATTTTACGTAATAAACGGAACAGTCTATCAATATGATGATAAGCATCCTAGCAAACACGAGGAAAGAGAACAAAGTAGGCCCCGGATGGCCAGTGTCATTTTACACTATCAACAAAGGGACAGCCGAATGCAAATCCTGCTAAGGAATATTTATGAGATACGGAAATAAGAATTAAATTTACCCACAATAGCCACAACAATATTGAGGGAAGAGAGCAAATTCACAGGACTTATATAAAATTAAGACAGCATGGGACTATTATAAAATTAAAAGTTCATGCAAACTTGAGATTGCAGAAAAAGGCTATTTAATCAAAAGACCTTAAAAGAGGATCAACGGCATTTAACAGATAAATGATGAATTTAGACACTTTGCATCAATTAAAGAGTTAAGGCCCAACTATGAATTAAAATTATAAAGCATAAACTGGGTGGTGGTGGTGCACACCTTTAATCCCAACATTAGGGAAGCAGAGGCAGGCGGATCTCTGTGAGTTTGAGATCAGCCTGGTCAACAACTCAAAATAGCTTCACCCCTAAAACTAGCCACGTTCACTAGCACCCTGTCTGCCACAGTAAGCAGGGCTAAGCTACAAATAAGACTCTGATATCAGACCGGCTGCCTGGAAGAGGTTTAGACCAAATGAGTCCCTTAAGAAGGATACTCTCCATGCTGCTCTACTGCCCACAGGCTGTGTGTAGTATGTTCCTGGCTCCCAGTTTTGCAAGCTGTCGCCCATACAGGCTGAGGTGGACTTGGTGATACAGCTGGCTTTGAGCCATTCCTGTTCCTGTAAGTAACCTCTCTCCCATAGTCCTGTAAATAACCCCAATCAAAAACACTGGTTCATCAAGTTGGACTTTGGTGATGTCTTTATGTATGGTCTGTAGGGGGATTCCTATTAGGGGTGAGTAGACAGGTGCTGCAACCCACCTGCCCCCAAACCCAAGGAAAACTTCCACCACCCAATATCTAGATTTCATCAAACTTTAAAAGTTGGAATTGGAGAGATGTCTAAGCAATTCAGAGGTTCTTTTAGAGGACTTGGGTTCAGTTCTAGCACCAACATGGCAGCTCACAACCCTCTGCAACTCCAATTCCGGGGGGGGGGGGTCTAACGTCGTCTTCTGGTCTCTGTGGGCATTGCACACACATGGTGTACTTATATACATGCAGGCAAGACATTCATACATATAAAATAAAAATTCTTTTTTTTTTTGAAACAGGGTTTCTCTGTGTAGCTTTGGAGCTCACTCTTTTGATCAAGCTGGCCTCAAACTCAGAGATCCACCTGCCTCTGCCTCTAGAGTGTTGGGATTAAAGGCATGTGCCACCACCACCCAGCTAAAATAAATAAATTTTTAAAAGTTAAAAAAAATTAATGTTGCCAGGCGGTGGTGACGCAAGCCTTTGATTCCAGTACTCGGGAGGCAGAGGCAGGAGAATCTCAGTGAGTTAGAGACCAACCTGGTCTACAGAGTGAGTTCCAGGACTGGCTCCATAGCTACTGAGAAACCCTGTCTTGAAGAACTAATAACAACAACAACAACAACAATAATAATGTTTGCAATAGAAAGAACAACATTAAGAAAAGAAAGACAGGCTAGATATAGCCCAGGAAAAAACACTGCAAATCATATAGGCAATGAGAGACTTATACGTAGAACATGCTTCCTATCATTTGTCTTTAGTGAAATGGAAAGTAAAGCCACGGTAAGACACCACTATAGACTTCCCTCTACAAAGATGGTCAGCAACTAACATAGAGAATCTGGAACCTTTCAACACCTTTCTGTCAAAAAGGTAAAGACCACAACCTGTTGATGCTTCTCAAACATAAACCCCAACATAAATTCCCCATGAAACTCGGCACTCATGTATTTAAGTACAGACTTGGAGACAGGGCTCAAGAGATGGCTAAAGATGATAGATGCCCCTAACTTCCACACGTGGCATACCATATGCCCCAACAAGACTACACACATAAATAATGTAATGAAAATGGTTCATGTGAGAACTAGCTGAAGGAGATGAGATCAATGTCTTAAAAGGAAATGAAATTAGCTATGCCAGGAGATACCTCACTAAAAGGCTTAATGGACAAGTTCTTCAAAAGCCTAGAGTTAATAAACACTGAAGACAACGAGGACAAACTTTGTAGCTTTCTCCAGTGCTAATATAAACTACAGCAAAATTGGATAAAGCACAGAACACATTTGTTGGAACCATTTGGAGTGCTAGCCTCCAGCTGCTCTTCCCTGCTAGAGATCTTTACTTTCCTTCTGATCTGAGTTACTGAAGGCTGTGTCAAAGTTGTTTACCAGCTCTGCTTCACGAGCACGTGTTGCCTTGGCCTTGAGGATCAGAGGATAAGGTTTTCACCTGTTGGCCCACTTGACTGTTGGGTATATAAGCCTCCATGGTGCTACTGAATAAATGGCTTCTTACCACTGATTAGGTCTGTCTCTGTCTATCTGTCTGTGTGTGTGTCAACCTCCAGCCCCTTGCCCGAAGCTCGGGAACTGAATGGTAGCACACAGAGCACAGACGGGCGTTATACGCTGCACACATTCATGTATATATATGTTCATACACATCCAGCACATGTATAAATTAGGAACCTTAACAACTACTTACACACAAAACAAGGTACTAAGGAGACTGAGGCACTGAGAGTCCAAGGACAGCGTGGGCTACAGAGACCCTGCTGTTCAACACAAACTGGTCTCCACATTTTTATGTGTTTGGAGAGGGATGGAGCTAGTGTTTTGTTTTGTGAGAGAGAAAGACCACGAAGTTAGAAGGCAGCATCTGAAAGGAGTTGGGGGAGGGAAGAATACAACTAAAATGTAGTATATGGAAACGTTTTAAAAATTTTAAAAATGTAAGAAAAGGAAAAAAAGAAAATTGACTTCAATAAATATTATTCTTAGTGCCGAAAAGTAACCAACATCCTAAAAACACATACAAAATGATACGAAATAGATACATGAGTGAAGGTAACTAACAGACAACTCACATTAGAAACAAAATGATTAAAATGCATAAGAAAACTTTTATCCCTTATTACTAATCAAGAAATACAGATTAAAACAATATGCCCTTACATGTGCAAAATTTAGAAAAGCCAACCCAGTTCTAACCATTACCAGCAAGTGTCAGGAAAAACCACTAATGCTGGGAAAGTAGTATACTAGCACTGTTATGGGACATCAAAGTTCATATTTGGATTCTCCTGTCCAGCAATTCCAATTCTTAGATCAATTCCCAAGAAAAACCACTACATATACACTAAGATGAACAAAAGAATAGTTATTCAGTTCTATTTTCAGCAGCAAAAAATAAATATAAGTCTACTAATAAATCAATTTATATATCCACTAAGGACTATCAGAGAACAATTAAAAATAATTAAATGGAACTAAATGCACTGTTCCTGAAAGTCGTCCCAACAGTTAAAAGCATCAGAGTCACAGAGCACTTCATGAGCGCAACTACCGACAAGCTACAGAGTGCACTGTTTTTAAGGAACTGTACTGTCTCTAGAGGTGAGACAAAGGTAAAGTGAGAGAGGGTTTCTTAATTTCTATACGATTTGAATGTTTAGAATTATTTTTAAATACATACTTTGTTTCTATTAATATGCATATGTTTGTGTACACACATGTGCAAGGTGCCTACATAACTAAGAAGGCATTAGATTGCCTGGAGTTAGAAGGTGGATTTTGAACCAGTGAAAATGGGTGCTGGGACCAAACTCCAGTCCTCTAAAAGAACAAGTAGCACTCTTCCCTGACGAGTCACCTCTCCAACTCCAATTACAGTATTGTTTAAGTTACTAATATACAAGTTAAGGAAAACACTTATTTAAGTCAAAAATTAGTAATGAAAAAAGACTTTAGCTAGAAAAAGAGTTGTTAAACCTGCAGCACTGGGGCTTTGGCAGTAATTTTAAAAAGGAATTTAGTCTTTTGTCAACGAACATTCTGTGAGAATAATGTCTACTATGGTCCTTAGCTAGAATATGAATGAACTGAAGGCAAACAAGCAATCCAGCAGACTCTCATGTTGCCCAGGCAGGCTTATACAGGGGACAACCTTCAAACGCTCGCTCCTCCTGCCTCCAACCCCCAAGTACCGAGACAACAGACACGCAACACCACACCCAGCTTTGAGTTTCTTCATCAGGCATTACTCAGCACACTTTTCCCTAGGGATTAGCCAATCAATAAAGAAATCGTGTACACAAGTGTGGTGGTTTGGATGGAAATGGTCCCCACAGGATAATAGGGAATGGCACTTTTAGGAGGTGTACCCTTGCTGGAAGAAGTGTGTTACTGGGGGAGGTCTTTGAGATTTCAGATGCCCAAGTCAGGTCAAATGTCTCTTTCTCCTGCTGCCTGCCAATTCACATATAGAAATCCCAGGTACCCCTCCAGTACCATGTCTGCCTGCAACCCAGTTTCCCACCATTAACAACCTCTGAACTATAAACTAGCCTCAATTAAAGGCTTTATAAGAGTTGCCGTGGCCATAGAGTCTCTTCATAGCAACAGAAACCCCTAACTAAGACAAGGTATCACTAAATTGGTTCATGATGCAGACAACCCTATGCCTACTAGTAATACTCTCAACGTAGAGGCACAGATTACGTTTTCACATAACTAATACTGCTTTCTCATTTAAGGACTTTGGTCATTTCTTCAAGAACAGTCACCATCAGAAATCCTGTATTTTAAAAAGTGACTTAGAAAAACAGCTCTTGTCTAACAATAACACCAACCAAAACCTATCAGTAGTAGGAGTCTTGCGTTTGCTTCAAAATATTTAAATTATTAATTTCAGAACTATGGCATCGCCATCATATGTGTGTGTGTGTGTGTGTGTGTGTGTGTGTGTGTTATAAGCCTACAGTGTCACTCAGGGACAGTCACATGAAACCCAGATGGCAATCCCTGCCACCATCAAAGAAACCATGCCAAACAAAACCCAGCATATTCTGAAGCACAACTTAGAAACTACCATAAAATTTTATGTTTCAGAACTCTATTTAGATATTTCACTATGTATTCATCCCTCTTTATTTACTGAGTTTATACTGAATTCTATCTATCACACATTACCTCTCAGCCCATAAAATACAGAGAAAAAGTAGAAAAGAACTTAAGAGATCTTCCAATCAGAGCAATCTTTCCCATATGAAACAAGTTCTTGATGAGTTTCTTATTTCTTTACACCGCATTAATGGAGTCACCGGCTTATTCCTCAAGACAAACAACACATAGAGGGCAAGAGCCAATATTAATACAGCATTATACTCCAAGGACAAAGAATGGCATCGATCATAAACTAAATGCTTAATAAATGAACTGGGACAGAGGGACATCACCACAGAAAAGAACAGTTCTAGATACGTGTTATCCACAATAGCCACTAACATGTGTGTTTAGTATCAGCTAACAGAAGAAAACTCAAAACTCAATTCCTAAATTAAGCAACATGCACAATGTAGATATTAAATTAAGAATTTCTTTTTACACGTGTACATGATTTTTTTAAAAAGAATTTGCAATTGCTTCAAAAGCTGAGAAAGACGTTATTTGAGATAACTGAAAGAAAATTTAGATAGTTTCCAGTTCTTTTCAATTTGAACTCACCATGAATCTCTTTGATACGCAGTGTATTCTGATGCATTCCATATTTCAGAATCAACTGTTCCAGATAGTAGAACGTTTTCTTGTGAAGAGTCTAAACATCCATGCATTACACAATCAGTACATCATATGCCAAAAAACATTAGTAAGTATAGTACACATATATCAATTGCAGATATAGCACACTGATTTTTCAAACAAAAACATCCTTTAAAAATTAACTAAAACATAAAGTAGTGATGTTATTTCCAAAGCTGAATGTTCCAGAAACCTAGATTCTGGTCATACATCAAGGGAACAGAGAAGGTTTTATCAGCTATTTATAATGGGCAATGGTAAGTTCATGATGCAGAATTCACTCATTATCTGTTTCAGTACCTTCTGCCTGACTTGAATCACGGCCTTCCAGAAATCCTTAGCTTCTACTCTATGGCAATCTCCACACATCTGGGACTGAACAACATAGTCCACCACAAACACTTGCTGAAGGATAGCACCATTCATCACCTGGAAAATAAAGCAATTGCACTCCTTCACTCTTACAGCTCTGCCCAATAGGAACCGCTTTCTTTATTAAAGAAGAAAAATAAGTAATTTGAAACTTTTTTCTATGAATGCATTAAGGACACCAGTAAGCTAAAGTTAAAATTGTAAAATTAAGTTATACTACCTATTTTTGGAGAAGAGAGGGAACATACAAGGACTGAACATGGGGCCTGATGCATGCTGGCCAAGCACTCTACCACTGAGCTACTTCCCTGATGTGGGATCCCCCTCCATATGCTGGGAATGCCATTGGTTAATAAAGAAACTGTCTTGGTTTGTAATAGGGCAAAAGAGTAGAGCTAGGTGGGGAAAACTAAACTGAATGCTGAAAGAAGACGAAATCAGGGAAAAGCCATGTAGCCCCACTGGAGACAGACGCCAGAACTGATAAGCCACAGTCTTGTGGGGATACAAATTAATGGAGATGGGTTAATTTAAGATGAGTTAGCCAGAAATATGCATAAGCTAACAGTCCAAGCAGTGTTGTAAGTAATATTTTATAAATAGAAATTTTAAAAATATAAATATTGTATAAATAATAAATATAACGTGATTATTTCGGGTCTGGGCAGCCAGGAACAAACACACAGCCTTCCTACAACACTCACCCCAGTGGTAAGTTATGCTGTTTTAAGAAAAGTACACAAGAATTCCAAGTATTAGATTACCATATTAAGTTTACCTCTAGAAAAAGTGGTTGTGAACATACTTTTTTAAAAACTTGGGGGTAGGAATGTGGCTTGATTGGGAGAGTGCTTGTCTGTCACACTTGAAGCCTTGGGTTTGATTCCCACTGCCATATAAACCAGTCATGCTGGCACACACCTAAAATTTTAGCATTTGGGAAGAAGCAGGATTTGTGGCTATATACTGAATTTGCAAACTCAACCTAAAATTTTTTTAAAAGTTATATATATGTGGACATGCTGTATATATACATGCATGTGTGCCTATGTGTGTGACACACAAAGAACTCACTTTTAGAAGAACATTAAGTAGGAAATTCTCCACAAACAATGAAAAGTTGCCTGGGAAGCTTTCTAAATATAGTCTAGGAGTATACACAGCTTAATGGTGGAGAGCTCACCTGGCACACTGGAGACCTTAGGCTTGATCTTTAGTACTTCAGGAAAATAACAATAAACAAACAAACAAATTCAGAGATTCTGATTCTGCTACTATGGTATACAATAATCAGTCAAGTTTGAGAATCAGTCTTAGCTAATGTTTTAACTTCAATGTTTTTAAAATTAATTATTTTTGCTTTTTAAAAAGTTTTAACTTTTAACTGTGGATAGATGTGCACATGAGTACAGGTGGCCATGGAGGCCAGAAATAAGTGCTAGATCCCTTGAAACTGGAATTACAGGTGGCTGAAAGAAGCCCAATGTTGGTGCTAGGAACTGAACTTTGGTCCTCACAACCCTGGGATTATACGGCTGCTAAAAATAACTGAGGGTTGGGCATGGTGGTGCACACTGCCTTTAATGCCAGCACTCAGAGGCAAAGGCAGGAGGATTTCTACTTAGTAAGCGCTAGACCAGCAAGGGCTACCTAGTGAGAGCCGATCTTAAAACAAAAACAAAACCTTTAATGAGACTACTGAATCCATTAAATTGAGCAATGGTAGCTATTAGTGACCCAATTATAAGTCAGATGATTAAAAGATAACAAAAGACTAAGATTTAAATTATACTCTTCCTTTTAAAGCATTTAGTTCATAAAATAATTTAACATTAGTCTCTCATTCTCATGACTTCTATTTTAACCATATTAAAGGAAAAATGAATAGCTTACCTCTTTCTGAATTGTCAATTTAACTTTAAGCCTCTTGGAATGGGGCTCAGTCCAAACAAAGCCTGCATCGACAAGGCGAACCTTCAATAAAATATTGAAGAAAAGAAAGGAAACTTAAGTCCCCATCTGAGAGACAGAAAGATGAATGAATACCTCATTCATAAACAACTCAGATCTTTGAAGGAACATGGGGTTAACATTATTACAACACTCACTACAAACAAATAAAAGGTCTATCACTAAAGCCATGGCAAGAAAAGCAGCATGTGAAAGGGCAGCCCAACGGCTGCACAGTGAGCCAAGAAAGAACTATTAAAAAAAAAAAAAGCTACTGCTCTTAAAATATACAAATATAAAATTTTTTAAATAACAAATTGATGACTTCATTATGCAAAAGAAACACAATTATTCTGTAAATAAAAGCTTCTATTCAAGTTAATATCTTTCTATGTTGGACTATAGATTTCCCTCCTCCCCCTTCTAAGAATGGACGCTTGTTGGAGAGATAGTGGTTGAGAGCACTGGTTGCTCTTCCAGAGGACCCAGGTTTAATTCCCAGCACCCATATGGCAGCTCACACCTGTCTATAACTCCAGTTCTGGGACATCTGACACCCTCATACAGATATACATGTAGACAAAACACCAACGCACACGAAATAAGTAAGTTAAGAAAGAATGGACATTCATTTGAGTTACCTAACTATAACACTCACTGACAGATAAGGAACTAAAAACAGTTTGCTAATCTTGATGAACTGAATATAAAACAGGCTAGAAAGAGAACTTTGAACAAACAGACTGAGAGAACAAGATGGAGCCTTTGTAATAATCTGAGTAGAAACCTAACTTAGAGGAAACAGAAATAAGAGAAGCAAGAGCAGCTACTTAGGAGATAATTCTATAGATTTAATAACTATAGATTAGAGAAAAGAGAACATACACTAGCACAAAGTCCAAGCTTAGGCAGCTAGATAATACAAGTTGTTTGACACAAACAAGCAACAGGTTTAATAGAGAAAGATCGCTTCATGGCATCTATGACACACATAAGTCGTATGATAATGTCATATGATACTGGTCTGAAGGTGCAGGGAGAAATCTGTTAAATAACAGACTGAAAAGTGTGAGCAAACAGACTAAAACTGTATCAAATATTGCCTGGTGAGAACAAGACTAGCCACGGCAGACGCAGTACTAAAGCGGAAAACCCACCCAATATGACTGAGGAGGCTACAGCAAATCCCAGCAGTCAAGAAACCAAGTCAAGACAGAAGATGAGCAGCTTCCTAACCAACGCCCCCCCGCCAAATCTCATAGTCCTCCCCACCACCGTTGCCACCACCCTCATCTCTCTCTGCGGAAGTTAAGAGCAGGAAATGTACACAGCACTAAATAGTCTGTGTGCTCTGTCTAAAGGCTCTAACCTCCATCTGCAGAATGCGGAGACCCTGACATCCACTTCAGCATTCAGAAGGCTCACCACACTCCTCCTTAGACAGGCAATTCCCAATGGTATCGAGTCTTTTGTCCTTTACCCTACCTGCCTCAGTCACCTTTCCATTTCCTTCAACCAATTTCCATATGGTTCTTCAGTCTCTTCTGCCCCCATCTAACCAAACCTAAAATCATTTTACTATGCTCTCTATTCAATGGAGCATCTCTTTCCTTTCCCTTCTAGTTGTCACAACTACACTGTTTCCCTCCATATAATTAAAAAAACCCTAGACAAATAAATCAAGAGCTCGAAAGATTCCAGACCTTAAAAGAATTACTGCTAGAGCTGGAGCAATGGCTCAGTGGTTAAGACCACTTGCTGCTCTTCCAGAGGACCTGAGTTCAATTCCCAACTCCCACAAATCAGCTCACAAGCATCTGGAACTCCAGTTCCAGGGGATCCAACAACGTCTTCTGGCTTCCAAAAGCACTGCACACACATAATGCACAGACATACAAGCGGGCAAAACACCCATACACATAAAATAAATAAGTCTCCAAATTTTTCTAATAAATAAAACTATTGCTGCTGAACAAAGGTCAATATAAAAATTAAGTGTGTGTGATCAAAACATTTGTAATGGGACTAGCAAAATGGCTCAGTGGTAGAGTACCTGGCAAATATGGGCAAGGTCCTTGGTTTAATCTCCAGCACCAAAAAGCAGATGAAAGGAAAAGAAAAACAGGAGCAAAACAAACAGTCACCAAAACAAAGCAAATTCCACACAGAAGGATTTTCTGAAAATGAATGTTGTAACCATCCCACCTACCTTACTTAGAGGTGCTTTAATTTTTTTCAAGCACAAAGCAAGAAGCTCCCTGGACTCTAAAGCACACTGTATCCAAGATGCTGGAGGCTGAAAATATCTGAAAGAAGATAGCATATTAAGTCTGCCACTTATTTCCATAGGCCATGCATAACTTATACTGATTATTAACCAGAATATATGTGCACACAGAGATATTATTCTGGGGAGACACATTTTGAATTCTTGGGAAGGTCCAGACAATCTCCATATAAACAAAGCCAAGTGCTATTTGGGAAAATATAGGCATATAATTTTCATATTTACCAGCAAGTTTTGTGTCTCTCAATGGACCACCAGATGTAAGTAGCTTATGCCAACAACTAAGAAAATGAAACTAAAGGCGAATGAAATATCAACTCTCAGAACTCATCGTCTACTGTCAAATTCAAAATACTATTTGCACAAATACTTTTATCATCTTTACCAGATGAGTAGGACCGTAGAACACACACTATAAATTTGCAAATTATTAAATCCGTAGTACCATCAACCTAAGTAAAAGTTAAATCCCAATTGCACATGCTTCCTTCTGTGTACTTTGGTGTATTCTCAGCACGCCACAGGGGCTCTCTCTGCATGGTAACAACTTAAGAAAGCTAAACAACTAATGTGCTGTACTGTACCTTTGGCACTGTTTGCAGAAAGAAATGGAGACCTGCTTCGGAACACCTTGGCTGATGTCAACTTTACTTCGTAAACAGGCCACACAAACATTGGCAGGGTTTGGACTAATTGGAACGCCACACTCACAGCACAAGCTTGAGAAAATAAAGCAAAAAAGTTTCCAATTAGATCTTATACATTCGCCAGTTATATATAAAATATATAAATATACATAAAATAAAATTATATATATACATATATATGTATGTATGTATGTTATGTATGTATAAAACCCTACCAAACCAGAGACCCAAGATCGATTTCTAGCACCCAAGTGGTAGTTCATACCCATATGTAACTCCAACTCCAGGAGATTCAACCCCTCTTCTGATCTCTGTGGGCTCCACACATACATATACACACTCATGCACACACACATTAACGCAACTTAAAAAACAAACAAAAAAGACAAGCTGAGAATGGTGGAAACCCCCTTTAATCTTAACATCAAGAAGCAGGGAACACTGATCTGAGTGTTCCAGGCCAGTCAGAACTTTATAACGAGGTGCTGTTTCACATGGGGGTGGGGCATGGAGGGCTGGCACCCTAAGGCAGAAATAAAGCAACCTTAAAGACAGAGTGAAGAAGAGCCCTGGACCAAGGAGAGCTACAATTCCGAGAATGCTGAAAGCACGGCACTGTGCAATAGAACTTCATGCAGTGATAGAAATGCTGTCCTTCATCATCCCTTCTTTAATACAGGAAAAGAATAAAAAAGATTAAAATGCAAATAGCATAACATCAGTGGCAAACACTGAAGCACATTCCATGTGAACAATATAAGACAGTCCAGTGTGGTGGTGCACACCTTAGTCCCAGCACCTAGGAGGCAGAAACAGGCAGATCTCTGAGTTCCAGAACAGCCAGGACTTAACATGGTGACAGTACAAACAGCAAACAAAGAAACACGACAAACAGCACGGAAGAGCAGTTTCTCTTTAATCTTGTAAACACTGACCAGTTTAGGAGACATCTGACTACACAGACGTTTTTATTCTGAGCACGATCTCCACATTAGGAACAGTTCAGTTACTGGGACTCACGGTAAAGAAAAATGTACATATAACATAAAAACAGAAAGGAGATTATTATAGGAAAGGAGGGGATGTGGGGGGGCGGTGAAGCACAGTCTACTGAAGCTCTAGACGGGAGTATAATAACTCTAGTGTACTGGACGCAGAAAAATTTTGTGAACTGGGCTCGA